AGGAAGTGGGAGGGGAGCTGTTGCATTGTGGGAAATTGCAGTCAATGTCATGAGACAAAGTGTATGCTAGCTGCTGTATGGACAGTGACTTTGCTTTGTAAACTTTCACCCAAATCACAATCAAAATGAACAAAACAAAACAACCCCCCCCCAACAAACAAAACCTGCCCACTGCATCAACTTCAGTTGGCATAACATACTACACAACAACGTTGTTCTACATCCTACTTTGGTGGGTAGCAACTGGTGTCTTAAAAGCTTGCAAGTGGCCATCTAGATACAATGTTGGGTCTCTCCTCATCCAGAGCAAAGAAGAATGAACAAAACCAAAAACACATGGAAACAATTACTCCAAGGGAGTACTGGACTGTGAAAACCTCACGTGGTATGACCATGAAAGCAGAACTAGATAGAGCCCCACAACCACTGTCAACCATTTGGAAAGGGGCCAGCGCAGGAGATCCTGGATAGAGTGGGAGAACAATGTGGAACAAAATTCAAACTCATTAAAAAAGACCAAGTTAACTGGTCTGATAGAGTTTGGTGAGACCCCTAAGACTATGTCCCCTAGTTACCCTTCAGTTGTGGAAATGAACTCACTGCCATGGATTCCAGCCAAACATATGGGGTTAATATTCACATCAAGTAGCTCGACTGCTTAGAATGCTCAATCGAGGCTGAAGAGAAGGGCAGTATTTGCACAGGGAGACAACTCGGGGGGCAGGAATGCATAGGAAAGAAGGACACAGGAAAGAGGTAACCCCAGGGAGGAAGTGGGAAGAGAGCTGTTACACAGTGAGGAATTGCAGTCAATGTCATGAAACAAGATGTGTATAAACTGCTGTATGGAGAATGAATTTGCTCTGTAAACTTTCACCAAAATCACAATAAAAATAAATAAAACAAAACTCCAGCTAAACCTGCCCACTGTTCTGTTCTGTTCATTATGGCAAACTTGGGGGCTTTTCCCACCTCACCTAGCACTGGACAGGCCCTCAGAGATGCACAGGTGGAGACTCGTAGACTTTCCTGAGTCTTGGGCCAGAGTGGCCTCAGGGCAGGGCCTCGTGCAGTTCAGTAGAGATGCCGGCCCCAGAGGCCCCTCTACGGGATGCCCCCACTCACCTCCCAGATCCAATAAGGACTTGGCCTTGGGGTCCACACCTGTGAAAGAGGGATAATGCCATTTCCTACTTCATAAGTTTGTTTGCTTTGGATTAAATTGGTTTATGGATGGGAACTCATTACCATGTGTCATCTACACTCAAGTGCTGTAATCATTACCACCGCTGACTTGGCTTATTTTTGTGACGGATGTTCCAAGAATGTTGTTCTCCTGTCCCTGCATTGACTTCTTATCCTGCCCACTTATCCTTGTTATCCTTCCCAACCTCTCTCATCAATGGAGAAGACTTGAAGGAGATCTTATTGGGAAAACTCTGGGTTGAAAACGATGTTTACCAATACCAGCCATGCATCACGGACTTGCTACTGAATTTCTTTGTGTGTCAATGTCATCTGTAGGATGGACCTAGAGTACCCATCTCACCAACCTGGGGGCAGTGGTCCACAGGACGAAGAACAGTGAGCATTCAGCAGGGTTCTAGGCATACAGCCGGGCAAGATGGGCAGTGCTGCCCAAACATCTCTCAAGCTCTATCTTGTGTCAGCTTCAGTCAAGGGTGGGTTGAGGGGAAGCTGAGGGTGGCGCAGGGGTCTGACTGTTGATCAGTGGGCAGCAGGGGCCCGGTGGGTCTGTACAGTGGGGGCCCACTTCTGTGCAATCTCCCAGACTCTCTAGGGCTGGGGTGTTGCTTGTGTTTGCTGATGGGGACTCAGCAGCTGTGTCCTCTCTGGGCTGCATCGTCTCCTGATCACAGGTCCATGTATCAGCTGCTTCCTCACTGTTGCTGCTATGGGGCAACCTCTGGGTCTCACCCATTTATCAGGGTGGAGTAGAGATCACCAGTAGAGAAAGTCAATTTGCAGGCACAGCCCTTCCTCTATCAACTGAGAGAGATTCTCTCAGTTCAGGTACATCTCTGAGCTCTAGCTTGAGGATGAGGCTGGCTGTTACCATGGTACACATCACACCAGCTCTAACACTTACACAGCGCTCCAGACCCATGGGGAGGCCCCATCCCACCGCTTCTTCCATCTGCGACCATCTCTCCTGGTTCTGACCATATCTACCAATGTAGGTAGTTAAGGCTGTGTGTCGACTTGGCTGGGCTGTGATTTTGAGTGGCTTGGCAGCTGGATGTAGTTATTCTCCATGATGAGATTGGATGTGGTGTAATCACTTCCATGGTGGGATCTGCTGTAAGCAGTTAATCAGTTGAAGGGGAGTTGCCTTTGGGGTGTGGCCTACTTCTGGTACATATGGAAAGATCCTGCATTTGGCCCATCCTCGTTTCCAGTTCCTGGACTTGAACCAGTGGCCTGCTGTGTTGCCTGTCAATCTTGGGACTGTTGCCTTCGCAGTGTGTAAGCCCCCAATCTTCAGCCTGTTATACTGCCTGCCGATCGGAGTTCATCACCGCCTGCAGCTGTGTGAGTCAGGAGGACCCTCCAGCTTGCTCCCGTGGGCCTAGAAGGCAGAGCTGAAGCCCAACGCCAAAGGGCCCCTGCCCAGCCCTTAGGAACTCAGACTTCTAGCCCAGTCTACCCCTAGAACCAGCACTCTGGATTCAGACTTCTAGAATCCTAAATTGTAAGAGAATAAAGTGTGTTTGTTAAAGCCATCCACTTGTGCTATTTCTGTTGTAGCAGCACGAGAGGACTAAGATAGTGACTTTTATTGTTATCTCTTCAGTCAGCATCTGATTTTCCTCAGAACAGGAGATGAGACAATCCATATCCTTTCATGCAGGTCAGATTTTAGAGCAATCTATTGCTAATATAAGAGAAGCTCTGGTGATGTGATAGGTAAGGCCTTTGACTGCTAACCAGAAGGTCAGTGGTTCATAACGCACTAGCTGTTCCACGGGAGGAAGATGAGGCAATCTACTGTAAAGGTTTACAGCCTTGGAAACCCAATGGGAGTTGCTAGGAGTCAGAATTGACTCAGTGGCAGCGGATGTGGTTTGGTTCATTTATAGATTTGCACCCTGTTCCTGTCTTCACAGGCAGCTCTTCCTTGTTAGGGATGATTTTCTTTTTGTTTTTTTTTAGGATTTGGGTGAAGATTTACAGAGTAAAT